TCTAAAAATCAGGATACTACTAATAGCAAAAGAAAAATCTTGGTGGGGCTCAGGAAAATGCTAATTTTTTTCGCAAACTCCCATTACAAAAATCTTTTGATAAAAAAACATCATTTGGGCCCAATATCATAGCTCTATAAGTTTCATCTGGGTCCCATGCTCTGAAGGTGAAATCTAGCATACCGAAAAATCCTGGATATGCCACTAAACTGTACATCACATATTCGGAAAAAAGTATTATAAAAATTGTGATGAGTTTCATATTTGAAAAGTATAGATTATTTACTACAAATTTGCTAATTTCTCAAGTTCAAACAACACGAGGCCAAATTGGTTAGACCATTTTTTTTTGTCAATAGATGGCAGTAATAGTCAGTTTTTCGAAGCTTGTTCGTATAACATTTCCAAATCTGTTTGAGATAAATGTGTGCTTTTTTTGTGTGTTAGTGGGAACTTAGCGGAGGAGCCTAATATAGGAAAATTGCGTAGATTAATTGATTCAGTCCCAATCTCAGCGAATTCTCTGTCGCGTGACTCCAGTAAAGTTTTATTTTTTGGTCCTATACATCTCCAGTCGCTATAGATATTATTGATATACGATCAAAGACCGGTTATTTATAACTTCTCATTACAATGTATCAACTATTTCCTTATTAAATCGCTAAAATATTAGGTGAAAAGTTGGTGAAATACTGTGTTTCAAAATTTTCTTTTGAAGTTCTATAGATTAAAGTCGAATAATATTTCTGATCTAAAGAAAATCATATGACTTGCAATAAAACTTAATTTTTGTTTCCATTGTTTCCATACCATTTTTTCTCAGTTTTGTATTCGTTTCTTCAGTAATAATAAATAAATTTGTAGCTCATTTGAACTTAATGTTCTATTCTGCGTACATATAACATATAGAAAAAAAAATATATCGTTATATTGATTATTTTTCTCATAGATATGCACAGTAGATATGAGATCGACTTGTCTTTTTTCTTTGAAACCTAAACAATTCTATTTCCAGTTTACATGCTGACTTAAACATTAGAAAGAAATCAAATTATGCTAGAGTTTTCTTTTTTTTTTATTACACATAAATTATCTTTAACATAGAAGAAAATAAAAAGAATTTTATGATAAAAAACAGCCATTGTCATTTGTATTTGTATAAAGTTTAAAATCAATTTTTTGATTAGATATTTGTCGAAGACGTTGATTATTAATTTCAGTTATATTACAATATTTAATATCAAGTTCTTTTAATGTTTCATTATGTTTAAGCATAATAATTAAAGAATCTATACTTGAATCTGTTATTAAACTATTTGATGCTAATGATAATACTTCAAGTGTATTATTATGTAAAGCTAAAATATTCGATAATAAATGTACACCACGATTACTTATATTATTACGATTTAACATTAAATGTGTTAATGTTTGATTTATTTTAAGTATATCACATATATATGATAGACCTTGATCAGATATATTATTTGAACCAAGATGAAGTTTTTTAATAATTGATTTATTTGTTAAAAGAATATCCATAAGAATTTTAACACCAGTATCATGTATATAATTATCTGATAAATCTAATTCAATTAATGTTAAATTATTATATAATGCATCAGATAAAATTGATATACTTTCACTTGAAATTTTATTTCCTGTTAAATAAAGTCCTGTACATTTTTTATCAATAATTGCTCGTTGAACAATAATTGGCATATCTTGATCAATTAATTCACGTACAGATAAATCAATAATTGAATTTGATTTACATAAAGTTAATAAATCTTCTAAATGAACATTTTGATATAATGATGATGATCCCTAAATATATATAATAATCATAGATTAATTAAAATTCTTGTCGAATTATATCGAAATTTTATTAGATTTTTTAATAAAAAGTTATTTCATGTGAAAAATCAACTTTCGACCTCGAAGATTACATCCCCCCCCCCCCCCCCAAAAAAAACCTGAATCATTCTATACTATTTTAAGACTCATCAAATGAATATCGTCGAACTTTAGACTGTTATCCATTCATATGACTCCTTTCAATCTTAACGATTTCGGTCTACTCAACAGGTTTTTCTTTTTTTTGATATATTCTAAATTGAATATTCAATAACTCATATATTAACTTACCGTTAATTTTAATACAACTGAACACAATGATGCATCACGAATAGATATATTAATTGAAGGTTTTCGTTGATTAAATGATAAACTTATTGATGAAGTACGATCATTATTAATTGTTTGTGTAACTGGAAATGAATCAATTTCTTTAACTTGAATTATATGAAGATTATTATCAAAATCAATTGATGAAATAACTTTATAACGTTGTGCTGATAATAAAAGAATTTCATCCGTTGCTTTATGAAATGAATGATTTCGAATATCTTTAGCTGATTTACTTTCAATTTTAAAACGAGTTCGTTGACTTATTTTATCATAATATTGTTCATTTTCAAATATATCAATTGATCGAGTACATAATGAAAATCCCCACCATATAAATGTTTTACCTGGTGGATATTCATTACTTAAATCAATTTGAACACCACGATAAACATAACAATGTAGTGATGGTAATTTTGATAATGATTTCATAAATAATTTTAAATAGAGAAGCCATGGTTTTAATCTATCACGATTTTCATCACGTAATGTACGATTAAGTATAAGATTAAATGAATTTTCTTTTGGTTTCCATTCCATTGAATATAACATAATAGATGCTGATTCATTTATTGTTAAACCATCTTTAATTTCTTGACAATTTTCTTTTATAATACATACCATTTGTTTTATATCGGGTACAATAGATAATAATGGTTCAATTGCATCTTCTAATGTTACTAATTGTAATTGTTCATAAACATATATTGGTGTCAATGATAATAATGGTTCTTCAGCTAAATCAGAAAAACGAACAAAATTTTTTAATTCAACATCATTCATATGTGTTGTGGCCATTATCTACATAAATAACGAATGTTTGTTAAACATGACTTCCATTTAATATAAAATATTTTTCGTTCTTATCTAGCGAGCACATAGATCTTTTATGTACTTAAAGCCTATTTTTTGTTTTATCATTCAATAAATTGCGACACCTTGTTTTTTTAATCAAAATATTTTTTTGCTTCACAACAAAAGGTTAACATTGCAATGACCTTCTTCAGCGAAATATATTAGTACTAAAACATATGTTTTGCTTAGAATATTCATTGTAAATATGGACTCAAACTGACCACAAAATTTTTAGATATCAGTTTACATTGCAATCAAAGATAATCGACTGGTGAAATGACATTTTTTTGATTCATCTATTTGTGGTTACAGAGAATTTTCAGTATTTGCTATTAATAATGAATGATGTTTAATACTAACAAAGAAATAAAATAATGAAAAATACTTAGATCCATATCATAAATCTAGAACATAAGTATTTTTGGAATAAAGAAGATTAAAAGAAATCTTTATTCGATTGGAATATTTTTCTTGTTTTAAAAGATAGTGCTCGAAATTCTCTATAAAACTATCTACAATTGAATCCGAAAATTATTTTAGATACATTTGAAAGACGATGAAAATTAAAGACATACAAGCATCTATAATAATAACTGACTATGAAAATAATGATTAATCGTGTCACATCTATTTTTTGAAAGGATTTATTCATAGTATTAGCTTGTTTTTCGTGTTTATGCGACAGATAGAAATCTATATGATTCACTAGTTTGTTAGTTCTTTTCATGTTTAGTTATTATAGATGTTTGTATATCTTTAATTATCAAATTCAATCATAGATAGTTTTATAGAAGATTTCCAGCGCTATCTTTTGATAAAAGAAATGTATCAATCAAGTAAAATGTAAAGGAGAAATATTAAAAATAGTATGCCAATCTTTCGCCTATATTTATACATCTTTTCTTTTTTTTTTAAATCAATAACTCAAGATATATCCGAAGACAAGTATTTTACATTATTGACTATATTAATAAACTAAATATTATTGCAAGAGTATTTATTATTAATGAAATATTATTTTCTTTTGAACAAAAAAAAAAAATTGTTCTCGTTGAATAAAATTCCTAAAACCAATAAAAAAAAAAATTCTAATGATGTTTTTCATGTGTAATATAACCATTCTTTTTTATTGGATTTGTTTTTTCTTCAAGATGTTTTGTCTTTTGTTTCCAAATATATTCTTGTAGAAAATAATTAACAAAAAGAAATAATAATGATGTTGAATGAGCAAGAAAAAGTAAAACAAATAAAACAGGAAAATCATAACAAGATTGATCACCTATGAAGAACATTGTATGAAAACGAAGCATACAACCAATAGCTGCAGCTACAAATTGACTTATCTAAAAAATTAATAAGGATAGAAAACAAAAAAAAAGAAATCATTTTTTGAATATATAAACATTTAGTTTTACCTGTATTACAGTAACAAAAAGTTTAATTTGAGCTAATAGTTTTCGTTGAATATGCATAACAGCTAAAGCATAATACAAATACATAATAACATGAACACATGAATTAACAATCATTGGTAGTGCTACTTCACCACCTGGTGTATATCGTCTATAATAATAATAATAAAAATATTCTAGTTTTTCTTTTTAAATTTCAAATAATACTAACGTAGCAAGATACCATAGAGGAAACATTGTTGCATGATGATAAACATGAAGAATACTAACATGAGAAAATTTTTTAGTTAAAATAAAAAACCATGTATCCCAAAATTCACAACCTTTGGATATATAATACCACCAAACAGCTTTAGCTAAATAAATATCTTCTTCATCATGCATAACAGCTTGACAAAAGATTCGATAAGATTTTAAAGTTAATGTTCGTATTGCAAGAAAAGCAACGTATGCATTAACTAAAATTGCAAAGATATTGTATATAACAATCGGTATACGAAGATTATATGGTTTTGAACGAGTTGACATCCATCGTTTGCCATAAGGAATTGAAAGAATATAACCAATGGTAAGTATGATCATTGGCCATGGTGAACCAGAGAGAAACCATGAATGAGTTACTGGATCCGGTCCTGTAGGTGATATTTGCTTGAGCATGATATGATATACGCACAGATAAAAATGTATGTGAGTATATGAATATGACAAAGAGAAAGATATGCTTCAATAAACACATGCTATATCTAATCGACGTAGGAGAAGAAAAAACTGCAGCGTCTACAGCTCCGATGATTAAGGACAAGAAGCGTGGGCTACATTAATAAAATATAAAATGACGGTGTTTTATAATTTTTCTGATTAATAGTATGATTTGAAATAATTTATTGTTTTCGTCTCATACTAAATATACAAATAGAAAAAAAGGAGATATTTTGAATCTCTTAAAAAGAAAAAAAAAAATCTTTTTTTTTTTTCGATTGATTTATTATAAATCAATGACGAACAAATGATTCAATATGCATACGTTAATTATTGCTCTACATAATGATAAGGTGTGTATCATATAAAATTTATCGCTTCGAATACATTCAGCAATATTATCCTTGATTATTTGATTTTTTTTTTTTGAGTATACATATTTTTTTTCTTTATGTCATATCTTGTATTTTTTTTTCATCAAAAGAAAACGAAATGACAGCTTAATAACCAATATTACGAATTCGTTTTTTTATTTAAAAACAAGTAAAGCTATTTTATATTGTTATAATTTCTTTTCATAAATAAAGATATTTATCTTGTCTTTTGATTTCGTCTATTTATTATACTTTTCTTTTTGTTTTACAATGATATTTGATGAATAAATTAACCAATAATCATATCGTGTAGTACTATTCACGTCAACTAACTTTGTTGACAAGACAATCATGAGTATATATAGCGGTTTTTTTCTCTTTTTTTTTGTATCTTTGTTAGTAGAATAAAAAAATATTTTCGAAACGAATCTGAATCATATAGCATGTTAAGATAAATAAGCACATCAAGAGCAATGATTGTGTCAATTTCTTTTGTACTCAACCTCTTGATAATATTAAATTTCTATGATTAGTCACCTTTGATAAAATAAATACAAATAAATAATCGAACATCAATATTCGTTACCAAGCGATATTGTACTATATAATAAGTAGATAAAAATCCGATATAAACATCCTACATGAAAAATCATCATAGTAATACTCATTCTATCATAATACAAAGACAGTTAAGAGTTCTTGATCATTTGAAAATAAGCCTTAATTTTCATGATTTATATTTTAAGTTATATAGGAAAAAAAAAGTTGTCCTTCACTTCATATCTGTCAATGTGATCAAACTCATTGATTAACTACGATTCTTCAGCTGGAATACTTTTAAGTACTTAGAAAAATGTGTAATTCAAATTAAAAATGCGTTTTTGGTCCATTTAAGCGCATTCAAGCTAGGGGTATTAGATAGATACATCCATCGACTGTTTTCACTTTCTTGGCGAGTTTAATTATTTTAGTAAGGATGGCGAGAAAAACAGTCTTTCGTTAGAAGTCTGAACTATAAGTAGGTTGTGAGCACCCTTTAAGGGAAAATATGGATACTATTTGTAGAGGCACATGAAATCGCGTGATGGCACATAGACTTAGTACGAAAAACTAGCCGCTAATAGAGAATGAATGTTTCCAAAATACAAATTTTTATTATCAGTTGTGTTTCTATTGCAATTTTTTCAAATTTGAGGCTTGTGATATTAAATTTAAAAGTTCTAGTTCGTTTTGTTTTATTCAAATCTGCACACTAATTGATATAATTTCTATGCTAAGCATTTCGTGAAAACAAATGCACACTGCGATTTAAGTTTAGAAGTACGAATTTCAGCATTCAGCTCCTTACATTGACTAATTCGTTTCATTTTACAGCAAAGCTTTTGTAGTAATCAATTGAAGCAGTCACATGCGACAAATCGAATCTTCTAATTTTAGAAGTGAATCAACAAAACAGCTCTGTCCTACTCGTTTAAGACGTTTCATTTTGAACTGAATTATATTATTACACAGAACCATTCGAATATCTATCTAATCAAGTGTCTCCATCAAAATAAGCGAACGATCTTATAGGATAACTCAACTTATGATGTGAAAGAATCCGATCAAAACTGTTTCACACCCACACCCCATTAGACTACATATGTGAAGTTTTTCAAATATTTTCTTTCAATTCAGTATTTTTTCATAAATTTTTGACATAATCTGAAGATTAATTTAACATAGTGAGATGCACTCAGATTTCTTTTAGTCAATAAGAATTTTCCATTATACGATTTCGCGTGCTTCTACAATGGTATCCATATTTTCCCTTAATTCGTTTGTTTCCCTTAAACGGTGCTATGTGAGCACCAAGCTTAAAGTCTGACATAAGTGAAAAAGTTAGTGACGTGATCTGTTCGTACTTTCAATAGTATCTATAAGCTAGGTCAAATTCAAAGAGAAATAAACATTGATAAACAAAAAAACCTACTGAAAATTGTGAAATCTGTAATGCCGAGAATTGACTAGACTTGAATAAAAATTGACATGACTGAACATAAATATATAACATTAGTTCTCCATTCTCGTCATTTTTCGATTTTTCTTTCAACTTTTCAAATCTTTTTAAAGCTCTGTTTACTTTTGCCTAAATCTCCACTCTGCCTGATATACATATATATATATGCATTGATGAAATTCATAGATAAAACATGACATAGACATCATTTCAACAATGAATATTGTAATTAATTCTTTTTAAAAAAAATCTACCTTTTCAATTAACTACAAACCATTTATGTTTCTACAAAAATAAATTGAAATCAGGTTATGACATAAAAACAGTTACAAGTTATTAGTTTGTTTTTTTTAGAAACAAATAATATAAAAAAGTGCTGCTAAATACTCTACTAATGATTAAGAATCATTGATATTTTAATGAAAAGTGACGTAGTTTACAAATAGGCTTGCTTTCCTCATTTTATTGCATGATATCAATCTAAAATTCATATTTTTTGCTATATATATATCACCTGTATCTGTTAGTATTCATTTTTATATCCACTTTATGACATAGGATGTTTATGCAAACAATTAGAAAATGAAACATATCTTTAGATTTTATATTCTATTTATTTGAAACACTCATAGATATAGATACATCAGTCTATTTTGTGATTAATCATTAATTGTTTACAAATCTATGTAAGTATAATAGAGGAAAAGATGTTGAACTCCTTAAATGCGAATATCAACAAGTCTGCAACAGTATTTCCACATAATCCGAACCGTAATTGGCAACAACAATATCCAACAAAGTATCATTGTTAATATCTCCAATAGCAACTGATGTTGGATGAGATTCATAATCAAGAGAGTATGACTTTGGACTTGAAAAAGTTCCGTTGTCTAGTCCAAAGAAAACAAGCACATTATCGGTGCCACTATTAGCAACAACAATATCCGTTTGATTGTCTTTATTCAAGTCCGCAACAGCAACAGAAGATGGTTCAGAGCTTTGTCCCGTTACATAACATTGTAAAAATGTAAAATCTCCGTCTTCATTACCAAGAAATATGCAGACATTGCTTTTATTAGAATTAACTACAACAATGTCGAGTTGTTCATCATGATTGAAATCTTCAACAGCAATAGATACAGGAGCTGAATAAAGATCAGTAGAATAAGTTTTGTGTAGTGTAAAGCGTCCATCTCCATGTCCGAGAAAAATACCAATATTATTTGCCTTAGAATTTGCAACAGCAATATCTAGTTGATCATCATGATTAAAATCACTAACAACGACTGAAAATGGACTAGAATCGTCACCTGTAGAATATTTCGTTTGTTTTCCAAAAGGCTCACTTTTATCTTGAAGCATAATACCTATATTGTTCTTCTTCGAATTGCTCACGACAAAATCTTGTCGACCATCATTATCAAAATCCCCAATTGCGAGTGATGATGGGTCTGAATTAACACCAGTTGAATAGATTTTTGGTACTAAAAATTTTCCATTACCTAATCCATATAATACACCAATATTACCTCTTCCACCACGAAAATCTGATATAGCAATATCAAGAACTGTATCATTGTTCAAATCATCCACTGCGATTGACACTAGCATTGATCCAGAGCCAGTCGTATATGTTATCTGTGATGAGAACGTTCCATTACCATAACCTAAAAATACACCAACATTTCGTGCATTTCTATTGGCTACAACAATATCCATCCTATTGTCTTTGTTAAAATCTCCAATAGCAATTGAACATGGGCCAGAACTGTTTCCAGTTGAAAATACTGTTACATGTGTGAAAGAACCATTACCATAACCTAAAAGTATGCCTACACTATGTCCGTAAAAGTTGGTAACAACTATATCTTGAACATTATCATTGTTGAAGTCACCAACAGCAACCCATACTGGTGATGATTCACGAGGCATTTGATATGATATTTGATTTTGAAATGATCCATTCCCAATTCCAATAAATATACCAATACTGTTAGCGTATTCAAGGGCTACAACGATATCTTGTCTACTATCATTGTTAAAATCACCAACTGCAATAGAAACTGGGGATGCGTCGATTGTCTTTTGTGACATGTGTGGAGCAAATGTTCCGTTACCATTACCAAGAAGTATACTTATACTTTTTTTTCGCGAATTAGCAATAGCAATATCTGATATATTGTCGTTATTAAAATCACCAATCACCAATGATCGTGGATCAGCTGATACCGGAAGAGCATATAACTGTTCTTTTGCAAATGTACCATTTCCTTTTCCCAAAACCACAGCTATATTGTTCGTTTTGCGACAAGCAATAGCAATATCCCATTGAGAATCCTTATTGAAATCACCTATAGCAACGTAGTATGGTATGGAATCACGCTTTTGTAAAACAATATTATGACTTCTGAATGTTGGATAATCGAATCCAAGAAATACACCTATGTTATTTGTAGCACTATTAGCAACAACAACATCAATCCAGCCATCCTTGTTAAAGTCACCAGCAGCAATAGATCTCGGGAAAGATTTGTATCCAGTGGCATATTCACTTGCTACGGCAGATGTTTCAGTACCAGAAGTGAGAAATACTCGTAGATCACTAGTCCAATAATTAATCACGGCGATATCTAATTGATTATCCTTATTGAAATCAGCCGCAACTACATGCTGTGGATGTACATTAATGCCTGTTGAATAAGTAATTATGTTCGTAAAAGTTCCTTCTCTATAACCCAGCAATATTTGTACAGTATCATTGCCAGCATTAGTAATAACAATATCCATCTGCTGATCATTATTGAAATCACTAATAGTAACTGACGATGGATGTGAACTAGATCCTTGGCGATAAACCGAACTACTTACAAAACTAGGCTGGTACTGTAAGAGAAGTACACTTAAATCATTGCTGCCAAGATTGCCCACAACAATGTCATCTTCTTTATCATTGTTAAAATCACCAATGGCTATGGAATAGGAATCAAATGCATACTCAATATGTAATGTGAGTTTTCTCGAAAAAGTTCCGTCACTGTTACCAAAAAATACATTGATACTGCTATTTTCCGGATTCAAGACTGCAATGTCTACTACAGCGTCTTTATTAAAGTCACTTAAAACAGCACGATACGGACTAGTTCCAACGTCAGTCGAATAGGTTTTCATATCTTGAAAATTTCCATCACCATATCCTAGAAAAACACCAATTGTAGAAGAGTCGGGAAAAGTGACGACGATATCGTCTCGTGCGTCATTATTTAAGTCTCTAACAGTAAGAAATTTTGCATAGTAAATGCTAGTCGACACTGGAATGGGACTTTGAAAAGTTGCATTACCATTGCTTAAATATATGCTTAGATTATGACTATCATAATTAGCAGAAGCAAAATCCAACAAATTGTCATTATTAAAGTCACCTACAGAGATAAATAACGGAGAATAATATCCAGTCGGATAATTTATTGCTTGTGCAAAGGCTCCATTACCATATCCAAGCAAAATAGCTACATTTTCACCAATATCATTGGCTACAATTATATCGAGATTTCTATCATTATTGAAGTCACCAGTAGTAATTGAAGATGGTATTGAGCGGTTGCCAGCTAAGTATATATATCCTTTTTCAAAATAACCATGGCCGTCTCCTAAATAAATACGTACTTCATTCATCAACAACATACATACAGCAATATCAGGTTGTTTGTCATTGTTGAAGTCTCCAACAGTAATCAAATAAGGAGTAACTTTATCTTCTAAGGTCGAAAAAGCCTCTTGGTATTCAAAAGTGCCATTACTATATCCTATAAATAAATCAACACTGCTATCAATGGTGTCGGTAATTATAATATCGAGTTTTGCGTCATTATTGAAATCATCGACAACGATAGATTTCGGAAAGGACTCTTCATCCATTGAATACCTTGTTTGATTTGCAGTGAGATTCATAGTATATGATCTAAGTATAAGAATAGAATTAATATTTTTATTGACGATAACAAGATCTGACATATTGTCATTGGCGAAAATGCCAACGGCTAATGAACATGGATTGGAATTATATCCTGTTGAATGGGTTGCTTTAGTGGAAAATGTCCCATCTCCATTTCCTTCGAGTACAGCTACATTGTCTTTTCCTGAGTTTGCAACGATTATATCAATTGCATTATCATTACTAAACCTACCAACAGCAATAAACTGTGGATTAGATTGGAAACCAGTTGGATATGTTGCTTTAGTTATAAATGTTCCATGTCCATCTCCAACAAGTATACTAATCGTTTCAGTAGCAGAATTAACAACAGCAATATCAATATAAAAGTCATTATTAAAATAGCCAGTAGCCACTGAACATGGATGAGAACCATTTCCAGTTGAATATTTTCTAATTGAAAATGTGCCATTTCCAGTGGCTAACAGTAAAGCTATGTCACTAGTACCATAATTAACAACAACAAGATCAAGTTGTTGATCATTATTAAAATCAGCAGCATCAATCGAATATGGCATTGAATCATAACCCATATGATAAGATGTATGTATTTGAAAGGACCCATTACCATAACCTAGTAGTATAACTACATCAAAAGTACCATTGTTAATTACAGCAATATCCAATTGTTTGTCTTGATTGAAATCTCCAATGGCTAATGATACAGGACGAGAAGAGCCTAATGAAAATGTTAATTGATCTGAAAAATATCCATTACCATGTCCAAGAAATATGCCTATATTATGAGTACCATAATTAGCAACAGCAATGTCAAGTAATGTATCATTGTTGAAATCTTCAACAGCGACCCAATATGGACTAGATTCAAATCCAGTTGAATAAGTAATTTCCGATGAAAACGTTCCATTACCATAACCTTGACGAATACTAATATTGCTAGTACCAGAATTAGCAATTACAAGATCTAAATTAGTGTCGTTGTTAAAATCCCCAATAGCCACATGTAGCGGAAGAGAATCATGTATAATTACAGTTTGAGAAGTTCGTTTGAATTGGATTTGGCATTTTTCATCTAAATATCACAAATAAAATACAATAGTGTCTAAGCATCATTTGCTCTTCAATTGTTTAACTTTTGACTGAATACGTATTATAGAAAATATTTTAATTTTTACTAATGCAGTTAATTTATGAATATAATGATAGACTCTTTTGTGTATAGTACTGTAGTAACTTATTATAAAGATAGAAACCTAAACAATATCTTTGGTTAGTCATTTATTCATAAATGTTATGAAACCAATACATACTACATTATAAAATTCGTTAAACTCATAACAATTACCACTAAGAGCCGAATTGGTACTGACTTTTCCAATTTCACTGGGAACGATATCGAAATCGTTAAATCATTAAATAAATACAAAAGTTCTGAAATCTATGTTGAGAAATCTTCATTTTCAAAGCTTAAGATGAAATAATTCGCATTATTTGTATAACGTTGTTTTGTTTAAGTATTAAAATATCTAGCATCTTCAATCTTGACAGATTCAATGATGAAAACTTCTCAAAATGTATTTGACTTCTGTTTCTCATGATATTTTGGGAACTGAACTGGAATCACTATTTTTCCATTTTTAGTAACTGAAACGACACTTCCAGCTTCGACTATGGGTCATTTTTCAAACTGTTAAATGCTACTACATTATTGTAATTTTTTTGTAGTTTTTAACATCAAGGACTCGATATTTTATCATGAATTAAGTTTACCGCATGCATAAAATTCGTTAAATACAAAAAACTAGGACAACAAATAAAACTATACCTGATCGTTTTGGAAGACCGAGACAAACTGTAATTATGCCAATAGTCATTGCTATAATTGTAAACAACACAAATGCACATATTGCTCTAACAGATGGATGTTCAAACCAGAATAGTTTCATTCTATTAAAAATAATATTTGATTTACAATAAAGAATCTTACAAACAAAGAGATATACTCTATCGTTTTAAACTCTATTTTATCTGTATAGACATTGAAAACATTTTCTATAGTGGATTGATTATTTGTTGGGTTTTCATCATTTGATTTGTTTGAACAAGAACGATGATGAGCAGATGAGTGTTCAATAGACTGTAGAGTATGATCCATGCAATTCGTATTGATCTAAAAACAAAACAAAACAAAACAAAAAGTTAACAGTTAGCAACTTTCGTATGTTTTGATTGTAGATTGTTGGAATAAGTTTACTAAAACCATCAAGACAAACATGGATCCTGTTTACTACATCGACTAGTTTGAATTTTTCCTTCTACAAGAAGACTTCCTAGCAGAACGAAACCACGAGATTTATGACTGCATATAACGAACATCGGTAGCTATATGTCTTTAGTGCCCTGATAAAAATGGTAGGAAAATCAATGATTGTTCGCTAGCGAAAAATCTCATCATAAAACATGCTGACAAATTACGGTGAAAATAATGCAGTACTTTGTCATTTTCTAGTTATGGCATATTGTTCAAGAGGATACTTCTGACACGCTCAGAATGATCGCCATAGTAAGCATTTCTTCAGTTGAATAACACCCTTCATTCACAAAAAGCTACATGAAATGACAATAGCAGTATACATATAAAGGAAAAGGGCAAAATATGATTTTTCTCAATTATTTTCTCATAAAAAGTCTATCAAAATAATACAATTTTAATGTAGCTCTAATTAGATTAGTTTATTTTTTAATAATTAAAATCAAATAGCAGTTTTCTTTTAAGCTAAAATCAGATTTAAATAAGTTGCGATAAAATAAAAATATCGATTATAATCTAATATATGCCAACCTATGACATGAGTGTTAAATGTTGGCATAGCGTTATAGTTATCAAATCTGGAGCAGAGAATACCAAACAAAAATTCAGCATCGAAGTTTTTAAAGTAAAACTTAAGAAAAACACGTTTTTCGATCATTGAAAATTACATAAGATTAACAGGAATTTTATTCCATTTTTTAGATTGATAAGTACTATAAATATCATTGAAGTAAACCGGTGTTAACACAAGACCAAAATGAATACTTTGAGCGACAAATAGGAAGTTTTCTTACAGTATAAACTGATACAGTTATTAATGAACTTTTATGTGGCTCTTGTTTAGTGTCTGCTGAGGTAAATAAGGTGCGGCCTAAGCCAACTGCAATCAAATACAATCGTCAGATTTCTGTTTCCAAGTCTATACTGTTTTTCAGACTTTTCTGGTCGGAAGCGACGTTTTTCCTGCGAGTTTTCTCGCCTGAAAATCTACAGATCCAACCTGCGCACGATATTCATTGACTGAATTACATAAATTTTAAGAAAATTCCAGAAATCTTTTTTGTCCAGTTTTCTCTCCAAAAATGACAGAAAAGACCCTATCTTTGAGCGTTTCTTAATCTCGATGTACTTCATTCAAAACTGTTGTAGAAAGCTCAGAAAATTTTCACTCTTTAGAGAATCATTTGCTCTATTATGATGTGTAATCGAAAGAAACTTTTTTCTTCGAGTTCAATGTATTGTAAAACTAGATTTTAGGTTTTCTAGAGATGCTGCATTTTGAAAAAACTGTGAAGAGTTTATTTTCTTCAAATCCTAGTTGGAAATAATTTTCTCTATTCAATCCACTATTTGGAATCTTCGTACAAGTTATCAGAACAAAAAGATACGAAATTAAATCTGTATAATCAATTTTTGAAGATACTATTAGCAACATATGAAATCATGCTTTTTTAACTTATCAATAATAAACACTACATAGGAGAAAAATGAAATAGGGTTTTTGCAGCCATTCTAATTAATATCGAATCCGACGCGGTCATTTGTCTAATCCGAAAAATTTAATCATAAGCAATGAAATTTATGCTTCTATGAATTATGTAAAAAATTTTCTTTTTTTGTCTTTATAACTACTTAAAAACTGATTTATACTCATGTTAAAAATAATACTTCAAAAAAAGTGTTTACAGTCGGTTTTTTTGTACAAATATAAACTATAAGCAAAACCAAATTCATGGTCACCTTGTTTATCATTAGTTATTTTGCATTGAAGACTAGTGGTTCGAGCGTTAGTACATACAAATTTACCTGTCGCGATTGCTTTCCTTTTTTTTATGTGTGCAAGAATAGAAACGATTAAATCATACATACAATATAATCACACATGAGTGTAAGGACGTCAACGTAAAAGAAAAAGCAGAGTGAGAAAAAAGAGATAGACAATTATACGAAAAACAGCAATAAAATCACATAAGTGTCCTTACCTGATAAATATATTTCATAAAACAACATATACATGTAATAACTTCACTAGTACATATGAAAGTACACCTTCTTCTATTAGAGGATAATAATTAGGACCTATAGAAACGAAGGCAACTTTCATATTTCACTGACCTATTATCTTTCTTATTCTTTGTTGCTGTTCAGTTCGTTTTTGAACGTACTACTTGTTTTTCTTTTTATGTATGACAATATCTGAAGTTACATATCAGGAAGGTTAAGCATAGGATACAATTTAGTGATATTGTATCAAAAAGTTTTTTTTTATCGAACAAAAGGAAATGCGTTAAATATAAAAATAGATTTGAGCAAAAGTATTTTGGAATAGTTTGTGCCATAGTTACTAACAGAAATGCCCTATCATGTGACATTGTTCAGGTCTTCAATAGTAACGGATTACAAATGAGCATCATAAAAAAAAATAGAAGACCGTTCTCAAGGTAAAAAAAGAAAACTCTAGTACGTAAATCAAAGAACATAATGACATTATTCTATACTTTGATTTATAATTAAAAGATCTTATCGGTTATTTTATTTCTAAGCTTCATAAATAACGTTCTATACGCAATAATGTATTAAATATTCAATAGTAGGTACTCCAAAAATCAAAGAAAAACTTAAAAACCTTTGCTAAGTAATCTAATCTATTAGTTACATATTTTTTTCTTCACAATAAGTATTACATTTGGCAATATGAAGACCTGCAAATAAAAAGAATGGACAAAAGATGAGAACAAGAAATATATAACAATAAAGTGTAAAAAAGAAATTTTATTGAACTTATTACTACTATCTCACATCTTCAATGTGTACCACTGGAAAATTTTATCTGTTCTTAAAGATCCAACAGCAATGAAAGAGAGAAGAAAAGAATACAAACAACATTCTAAATTTATATTAGTAAAAAAACAACTACATACAACGACAAAGGAAACGCTTCAGAGAGAGTCACACTCACAATAAGATAAATAAAGACTTCAATTGAATAGATTTTTGCATACTATGTTTCAGTACTATCTAATATAAATTCTACTAGTAAAGTAAAACTCAAAGAAGAACATATCAGATAAATATTATAAGAATAGTAGAAGATGAAGTAGTAAGAACGTTTGGTGACCTTAGAACACGATCATAGGAATATTATAAGGACTATTTTCTTTATTATTTATTGTATGTATTCAAACACTTGGATCTATCTTTTGCAATATATAACAACTCTTGATGACTGCACCAAAATAAACTCACATTCGGAAGTAAGTCTTATATATACTCAACTAATTTTTTTTGCGCCATAACCTTGTCTTTGTGTGTATTTTCAGTTAGAAGCTTCATTTTTATTCTTGCATGTAATGCCACAATGAATTTCGAGACTCACAGCAAAAAATGCAAAACATTCTAAAATAAAATATATTATGACCACTATTTTAATTATATGGTTATGTACTGTTTAAATCGTAGTATAGTTTTCTAGACATCTTTCCCATTAATTACATACTTTAATGTCATCAAAATAGATCTATAATTATATACAGTATAAAGGAAAAAATAATATTTGATTTTTTTGTATAAGTTTTTCTACATTGATTAGAGTAAAAAAAGATATATATATATATACAAAATAAAAAAACTAACTTTAGGTGTATATTTTTATTTGAATATCATCAAATATTTAATAATTATCTAATACTTAATTGTACTATAGTCACTTCATCGACCGGTCTAACTTCAATTAGATTCACTGCACAAAAAATACTTATTTAGGTACTTTATAATTCCTATCTTGTAAAGCAAGTTACACAACGTAGAAAAAAGATTTTTTAAACTTTTTGTTTTACATACTATTCGAATAGACCAAATCATTGCAAAAGAAATGTTATTCGAACATTGACAGTTTTTTTTTAATTGTATCTTTATTGTTCGAGCTAGACCACATTTGAAAGATGTACTTGATTAAACGAAAAACTGTTGATAGAATGTCAACAACTTCAAAATGGCTCAAAACTTAAAGGTTTTTTTTATAGAGAATCTAGATTTTTTCAAGTTTGATAAAATAAAAACTCAACACAAAAAATATCATTTGATACAAGAGAAGAAAAAAGCCATTGTCGAATTTTTTAAAAATGTCAATCACCATGTTTTGAATAACTTTCAATCGGTTATAACTATCTCTGTAACATTCATTAAGTTCGAAGAAGTTTTTTTGTTGCTCATTTCTACAACGTTTTGTAGCAATCTAAGCTCAAAATATATCAACATGTAACTCAAAGAGAATCGTATTACTCATAAAATATGCAGATTTTAGAACACTTCTTTTCAAGTATGTGTTCAGTGTGAGAATGAAGAAATCGAACAATTACACAGAAAATACAATATTCTTTGGGCGATATTTTGACGTAATTTGAGCCTAAGTTGCTACAAAAAATTTTTTCCATGCAAAAATTTCTAAAAAAAACTTCTTTGAACTTAATGAATATAACAAAGATAGACGTCTCTAACATTCCTCTATTTAATAGGAAAAAACCGACTTCAATATGTATAACCATTTGAAAACCATTCAAAAACTTATGAAAACGTTTTTAACAAAAAGAACTGTTTTTTTTATAGAATAAACTCTACATTTTGGTCAATTCGAAT